AATAGTAGGTGCATTTATATCCACCTGTTTTTAGGGATTTTTAGGTCAGTTATTGACTGGCTGCTGCAGCCTGTGGCTCTGGCCTCATGAAGCCTTTGACCGAAACGCTCCATCTTCAATAATCATTGGTCTCGGCTCTTTACAGATACTCGTATAAACGAGCTCTATGGCGGTCTCTTATTTACTATTATTTAGTGTGAGAATGAACCAAATAGAAAAATGCAACAAAGTGAACTTTCCCATATCACTGCACCAAAGGAAACAAGCTCCAGATGTAATCACACCCTTACAATGATGAAATGTTTTACATAGTTAATGACGGGATGGTTCAGTGAGAAGACTGGATTATTAACGACCACTTCAACTGTGTGGTCCTCGTTAAAGCTGAATGAATGCGCATTGTTTTATATCAGTAATTAAAATATGTTCCTTAGATCTGTGACCTTCCTTCCTTCATCTCAAAACTAAAATAAAGAGCAGGCAGGAAAGTCTTTGTTAGATAAAATTCCTTAAACTGAAAGCACAATGACGCCGAGTTCTGGCCGCTCGCCACCGCTCTCCACCATTTTCAAAGATAAATACGTTTATTTTGGCAAAACAACATCAGCAGGGAGGAACCGGAGGGTCAGAGAGTCAAAGTACATGACAACAATCTGATCTACAAACTCTGAACTTCTAAACTGTCCAGTTTCTATAAAGTGGAAATCAACAATCTGCTGGAGATGAAGAGGATTTAATGTTTATATATATTTACAACCCAAAGAGTGACATCTTATCAGTCAGGTGGAGACTGACTCAACATTGTTTTTACAGCACACAGGTAACTTCTTCCTTTCTACCTGCTCATATATTTGTTTTATTTCTTCACACCTCTTCATAAAGAGAACTGGATGTGTCACTTTATTTTTCCAGCCTCCTGTAACCGGCCCGTCATCGTTCACGTTGTCATGTGCGACTGCACCTGCCGGACGAGCGGAGCGGTATGTGGATGTGTCTCGACACGCTGAGATGTATGTGTTTACCTCAGAGCTACAGCTGTCTGATCAGTTTGCTCCAGTAACACAGAGCGATTAAAAACGGCCTCAGGCTTCAGTCACAGAGAGACTCTCACGGATCTGACAGCGACACTGTGAGCTGTTGGTTCAGATGATGTCTAACCTATTGAAAACTGTCATGGATTAAAAGTCGACATCAAGTGCTTCTTTGCACAGACTGACTTTTTCTTTAGATTTAATAATACCATCTAAATTAGGGCTTTCCGGTGGCTCACCTGATAGAGCATGGATCCTTAATTAAGTCTTAGTCCTAACCAGAGTGGGACGGATTCGAGTTCATCCTGTGGCCCTCTGCTGCACGTCACCATGGCTAACGAAATTAAGGCAAAAAATGTCCCAAAATTAACTTTAAAAAAAATTTCATTAACATGGTATTTGTTTCCTTGTACAGCTGCTTTAAGACAAAATTAAACATTAATGTCCATCCATCCATCAGCTGCACCACTGGAGCCAATCCCAGTCTACCACAGGACTGACATATAGAGATACAACCATTCACTCACATTCACACCTACAGGCACCTGAGCAAACCCACACAGCACAGGGAGCCGAACCTGGGTCTGAACCCAGAACCTTCAAGAATCAATTAACCGATTGATCGTTGCAGCTCTACATTAGCTGAACAACACCAAGAAACAACAGCATTTGAAAGACTTCTCCAGGACACACAGACTTCCTGAATGTGAAGACAGTTCCTTTAGATCTACTCACTTCACTTGAGCGGGTCATCCAGGTTTATTCATTATATTTGATGACCCATTGTAGCACAACACCATCTGAAGAATTCATGCAATTCCCTAACAATCCCTCTCCTGGGATACACCTCCAACAACTAGGACTATTCCAGGATTATTCCAGGATTTTTGGAGGAGGTGTTTCTGGTGCTTGCGTCCAGCTGGAGCGTCTCAGTGACGGCCGGCCTGTGGGAACCAACTCCACATCAAAGAAAAGGATTTTAACACGACTGACTGAACCTCCTATGAAAAGAACCTGTTGCTGAAGTCATCCAAGGTGAGTAAACACACACACACACACACACACACACACACACTCTGACTGCCTACAGCCATCCACTCTGTAGTTACAGTGTAAATACAACAGCAGAATCTGGATCTTTGACAGATTTAGTCAGAAACCTGAAGTCTGCAAGAACATTTGTCTGTTCATCACTTTACTGCTCACGTGCCTAAACTTTAATCTTTGCATGTACAGCTTCCACTTTCACCTAATGAACCACAACTGCAAATTTGCAGAAAAGTGCAGAATCTAAAATCAATGCAAGTCTTCAATACCAGGCTGTGTTGAGAAAATTAACCCTTTAAAAGTCAAGATATTCTATATTATGAAAAGACCAACACCAATGAACTGAATTAAACCTCCTAATAAGAAGAGATCAAACAATATGAAAAATAATTAAATAGTCAATCAGTAGAAAATCTATCTGTAACCATGTCATAACTGATTTTATTGTAATTTTTAATTAATTGCCACAACTCTGAATTGTGTGTTTAGGAATATCTTAAAAACAAACATGCATCACCATGAACGCATACTGTTTATTACGTATAATTCATGCTGCCCCAAATGCTCACCAGAGCACTGAACGTGGATTAATCCACCGCTGAAAATAGTCCCAGACAAATGCACTATCAACCTCAATGAGCAGCTGTTTTAGGAAATTTACTGTCTACTGAGTCTTTAAAGATCCATGTCTTCAGACTTTTCATGCGATTCCTTATGCTGTCATTACAGATGCTCTTTTGCACATATTCTGACATGTGATTTTAGAGCAAAGATTAGATGGATCGTGTTTAATTATTCTCTCATGACAGACCTCCTGAGTGTGTTATTAGAGAGAGAGAGGGAACAAACTTAATTGAGCCACAACACAGATCGAGCCCATGTGACTGACCCCTGTGTGTTTGTCTTTCTTTTCATACAGAACAAAAGTCTGACAGTCAGATCTGTTGTAACGGCGCCGCCACCACAGTGGAGTGTCACAGCGACCTTTTGACCCTCCACACAGCAGGAGGTCGACCTTTGTGAAGAGCTGTTGCTGTCTCTGTCTTTATACACTCAGCTCTGCATTGTCTCTGCTGCTAAATGACATATGTACTGGTATGCAATGGAGCTGAATGGACGCTCACTTTCTCACAACAGTAAATTCAGCACAGACTGGCTCATGGGGCTTTTTTACGAAGCTGGAAACATCTGGCAAAAAATAAAAGTTGGGGGCTTTTGACTCCTGTCACAATTTTTATAACAATACCCAAACAACCCAATCTCAGTTTGGTCACGAATAAATACAGTATTTACAAACCATTATTTCCAAGGTTTCACTGTTATTAATATATGATGAAGTAATTAAGAATGCATTAATCTCAGATGTTAAAATATAAATCAGTTATCAGACATGAGAGACAAACTGTGGCTTCACACACTGCAACACCAATGATTCTCCTCCTGCAGCTGTTCCTGCTTGACCGAACTTCCTGATAATTAAAAACTGATCCTTATCAAACCAGAATTATGAGTCTTATTGTCATTTTATGGCCGATCTGATCTGTTAACTGGTCAGGCCTGTTTACTGCTTAATGACACTCTAAACTGAATATGAATACTTGGCCATATCTAAATCTCATCCAGCTGCCACTGAAAAACAAAACCAACCCCCCCTTCATCTGTACTGAGGGAAGAAATAGATAGAAATATGAAAAAAAAAAGGTAAACACTGCTGTAATCATGGAGGTTTTCTTTATCAGACAGTCTGTCAACTGTCAGCCTGTTACCGAGTCAACACACACACACACACACACACACACACACACACAGTACAAACCTAATTAACCTAGACCATCATTTCATACAGTATCCTGTGACTCAGGCTCAGTTACATGTTGAACTGCTGCCAAAGAACAAGTAACCAGGCAGAGGCTGAGCTGCTTATGGCTGGGGAATGGACTTTAACACAGGAAACTGAATTATCAAAAGCTGGCATTGAATGTTTGATCAGGTTTGTAATATGATCAACTTTTGTCAATTTTACAATGTTTATTTAAAGCAACGTTCGGTTGCTTGAGTTCAAATATTTAATATTTAAGAAATATGATTTTTTTTAGAATAACACATTTCATTTTTCTCAAAGTGAATCACTGTTAAATGTACGGATTTGATATGAAACTGAATTGATAAGCTGATACTGTATTGGCACTCGCTTGTGTCATAATTTCCAAAGGATACCCAGCCTTAAAGATGATTTTTTTAAAAAACACAATCCATGAACCACATTTAAAACAAGTTGCACCACCACCAACATTCAAAACACAACCTGTGTGAAGTCCAAAAACTGACTGACAGGTCTCTTAACTCAGTGACTAACACAGTACAACAAGCCTGTACTTTCAGTTATGATCAGCTAACCCACAAAATACAGCAAATTGTACTAAACCCTGACTAATATTATCTCATCTGACCATGCACTTGTAAACTTCCTTAAAACTGATACTGATTTTAGCTCTAATTTGAGCCCAGAACTTTATTAAGTTATTTAATGCTATTTTAATTTTCACTTAACGTTTCAATTAATTTATTAGTTGTTTGATCTGTAAAACTTTTTTTTTTTTTCAAATAGTGAAAACTGAATAATTTCCCAGTTGTATTCGACCAATTCCCAGAAGATATTTAATTTACTTCAACACAAGACTGTAAAAGTGACAACATTCACACTGGAGAAGCTAGAACCATCAAGCACCTGAATAACTGACTAAACAGTTACAGGTTATTTTGTTTAATCGATTAACCGACCTATCCTATTAAACCTCACAGCAGGCGGTTAACGTACAATTTTAGCAGTTATTTAGGTTAAAAAGCTGCTTGCTAGCATCTCCAACAGAACCGTTAGCTTCCATAAGATAACGTTAAGGTCTCACTATCTGGCAGCCTTACCTCTCATCCAGTCCACCACTTGTTGCGGGGTCCACTTACTCACAGCCTCCATGTCTCCGAACCGCAGCGACAACCGGCTTTTCCTCCGGGGTTTAATTAACTTTTACCTCGCGTGACCAAATCACCGAATAAATCCGTTAATTGCACATAATCAACTAAAAAAAAAAGAAGCGCGACGACGCACGTCCTCCACAGCCCAACGGTCCGCCGCTCACTAACTGACTGATCTCGTGGGGAAAAGTTTATAAGCAACACGAGCCGAGCAGCGCGTGCGGCGCGGGTCAGATTACCAAAGCGATGACCACGCCCATCGGTCCCTTCTCGTCCTATTACGTGAGAGTATTTTGATGTTGCCTTCAGGTGCTGTGTGAAAGACCATACATGAACGAGCAACTTGAATATACACTTTACTACATAATTCTAAATGTAAAAATCTTTATCCACAAACAGAAATTTACCGAGTCAACTCCTGAATTTTCACCTTTTCATTCTCTAATCAAGTCACTCGGTTTATTAAACAACAAAAAAAGAGTAAGCTATTGGAACATTATGGAAACTTTTTTCACTGTAACCTCTGACTGAATAAGTAAATATTTGTGAATTTATGTACCTCTGTGGAAAGGAATTTATGTTTTTACATTTTCATTCCTTTTTATGTTTGCCTATTGTACTTATGCCATTTAAGTTCTGGTTTTATGTGCTGTTGTTTTACCTGAATTACTGTACGTTTCCTTTGATCATAAAGAAATTAAAAAATACACAAACAAGCAAACATAAGAGCTTTCTTGTTCAAAAGTGATACAGTTGTATAGAAAATTTGACTAAATACAACCCATAGACAATGAAAAATAGCATTCTTAAAAAGTTAAAGCAGTGTTGCTTTTTATTCCGTTAACCTAAAAAATAAACATTAACCAGAAGGATAATTGTGACGTACAAAAGTTCGGGCGCCCAACTAAATCAGTAAGTTTCCCCCTGGTCTCTAATCAGATCTTTCATCTTCTGGGCTCCACAGCAGCTCGGTCATGTGCAATGGGTGTTGGCTTGTTAAGCTTTTTTAGGTTATGTTTCCCATGGGAAGAGCACATTTGACTCTGCTCGCAGGGAGAGAGTTATTGACTGTGCTGACTGAAAAGGAAGAACATACCAAGGGATGAAAACACAGGAAGAAAGCCAGCCAAAATTCAAACTAAGCTTTCACTGTATGTGAGAGGGAAAGCCAATATTTAAGACTTTTCTACAGCCCAAAAGTACATTTGTGAGAAGCTGTAAGACTTTGTGAACCCGCATCCTGGAGATCAAAATCTTCATTATACCCCACAATCTGAAAGTGTGAAAAGTTAGATTAAGTTATTATTATTAGTCTTAATCAAAATCATTTAGCATAACTTTAAAAAACTATTTTTACAATGGGCTTCAGTGAAACTCACACATCCTCTGACATCTTTTGATCTATTCTACCATCTATACTTAAACTTGAGTAAAGGTTTGAATGCAGACCTTTAAATTATGTATGATAGTCTACTTACTACTTTCACTCTAATAAAAATTACTTTAATACCATCAGTTATGAGTTTATCAGTATCAATTATACAGTATCAATAATTGTTATCACATAAAGTATTTAGTGGTGTTGCATTATAAAACTGTAGTATAACTCATCCTCACACTTAATGTTGTGTGTATGTGGAATGTTTGCTACTCCTATGTAGTAGCAATACGTAGTATTCAAAGTCATGATGTCATAATCGATGTCTGACAGCACCTGAATGCATCATTATTTTGTGGGCGTAGGTTCACGCTGTGATTTCTTAATAGAATTTAGTAGAATTGAAGATTGGGAAGGATCTTTTAGATATTTATTTTCTATGGCAAATGGAGATGAAAGGTGTGTATGAGTGTTTGTTTATTAAAAGAGTTAACTCTTCTGTACAGGGTGAGTACTCTCATTCATGGTAACCAACATACATTCTGTCATTGATATTTCCTTTGCCACTGTCTATAACAGAGATAACAAAATACAAAACAAAGTCATCCCTGTTGAATCAGTGTTGAATTAGTGTTCATGCGTTTTGATTGGTTTACATTACAAAGGAATAAAACTGTGACATACAGAGTTTAATAGTTCACACTGGTGTCATGTAGTGATTGTACTGGCAGCTGCAGTGACAGCAGGAGTAAAAGAAGTAGTTGTAGCTGGCCCTTGGTACCAATAACTGAGGCGGAGAGTTTCATACTGGTGCGTATATTTTATTTGTATCGAGCACCGTGAAAACTATAAATATAAGATACAAAAGAAAAAAAAGAACATTAGTTAAAATACACAAGCAGAAATTTAATCAATACCTTTACAATGTTGGTCACAAAACAAAAGAAAACTTAACACTCATAGCACAAATTACCAAATACTATAAAAGAAGTGCAATTAACAAAAAATTAATAAGAAAATAATAAGAAAAAATACATTCATTAGACAAAAGGTGATAATTAAAGATTCACACAAATAATTAACATAGCACCATCGCTCAGAAACATCACTCAAAATTAAACAACCAAAGGATTTATAATCATCTCTATACAATTCAAACTTACATACCTCGTTCCACAACCAAGGGAGCTAAAATATTAGGAGAACATCAAGGTGTGAATCTTCTAGAGGATCGTCTGTTTCCTAACAACCCGACAGTGAGAGCTTAGCATTAACAACAGGGACATGATAATTATGATGGAAACAGGGCATCATTAAACAAAAAAAAAACAAACAAAAAAAACTTACTCCGAGTAAATCATGGACATCATCAAACAAAGAGAAGGTGAGCAGCGCGCCACACCGCAGCGGACAACAGGTGAGCCAGTACCAGCAGTGTGACAGGAGAGCACAGGTGGATCATGTCATCTAATTAATCACATGCTCCCCTTCCTGCCGCCGCATTTCCTCTGACTCTACACAACAATGACCGGTTCCCAGGTAGCAGTATGAGCCAACCCGCTGTCATTCACAGTAGCTGTACTGTTGTTATATCACAGCTCATGGTTCAGTGTAAACTGAGTTTCAGAGGAAATGCTGCCACCTGGTGGTCAAACATGGAACTGCATCTTCATTTAGATCAAGGCTCTGCTGCTTATACAAACATCACAGCTACAAAATAAAAGTCTTTTACTTTTAATAATCAATCCATTAAAAAGTGTTTCCTGTGTATTCATTGTGTTAGCAGTGAAGTCCATTTACACAGTTGTACATGTGAACAGAGCTGGATGCTGCTCATTGATCCTGACAGTAACAACAGCAGAGTGAACGGAGACAAAAATAAACATCAGACAGAATAAAATCATTTTACAAAAGTGTTAAAATGTTGATCATCAAAGTGATGAAATCAGACTAATCAATGTTCAGTGTCTGAGTCTGAGACAGATCTGCTTCACAGTGCAGAGTGTGTGTGATGGTGAACAGAGTCCACTTTGATTTCAGCAGCTGACCTGCAGTCAGCAGAGTTTCTGTCCACAGGAGAGCCTCTCAGACCTACAGACACAGAGACACTGAGGAATCAGGAAAGATCCAGAACCCAGGATACAGAGTTTCAGTGAAGGTGGTGTTGAAGGTGTGGAGGTGGATCAGTGAGTCAGAGGAGACTCTGTAGAAGGACAGAGAGCCAGCAGGACAGTCCACATACACTGCTACTCTGTGAGAGACAGAGGAGGAGGAGATGGATGTTTTTCTGTCATTGTGACGGACAGAGTAACCATAAACATCGGAGCATCTCAGACTCCAGGACTGATCATTTCTTCCAAACCAACAGTCCTCAGTGTTTCCTTTCCTTCTGATTCCTCTGTAACTCACTGATACAAAAACATCACCTCTCCACTCGACCTCCCAGTAACAGCGACCAGTCAGACCAGTTCTACACAGCAGCTGAGGCCAAAGATTAAATCTGTCTGGATGATCAGGATATGACTGACCCTCTGTTGCAAATGTCACCGTCCTGTTGTTGTCAGACAGTCTGAGGTTTCTGTTCACTGTGTTTTCATCCAGTTCCAGTTCACAGGAATCTGATGGAGAGAACAAGACACAACACAGCTGCAGTTTATCATCTGTTGATTCATCAACAACTTCACTGACAGTTACTGAGAGTGAATCATTTCATATTCAACTGTGAACAATGTTTGACTTCATTTAAATTAAACTCCAACAGTCCAGTTACTGAACATGAGAGTCCAGATGTCAGTAATGTTCTGCTTGTTTTCTGCTGTGGACCTGAGGATGACGACTAATGGAGATCCACATCAATAAACATGTAGTGAATAAAGACTCACTAATAAAACTGGATCATCATCTTCCACTGCAGCACAAAGAAGCTCTGAACCATCTGCTTTCTAAAACTGTCATCACCTCACATTCAGCACAAAGTTCACACCTTTGACCTCAAACCTCAAACTGTCGTCTGCTACAAACACGTTCACAACAGTCAGAGGAGTGAGGGTCCACCAACTGGTTTCAAGCTGGTTTTCACTGACCAGGGGCCAGATGCAAAAAAACTGTGTGTAAACAAAGACAGAAAAACACATTGTTTTCTTCAGGATTATAAAGCTGTGAGTTCACATGGTTCTGTTTCATGAATCTCAGTCTCTGTGGAAGTGGACGCACATACAGGAGCCTCATTTCCACAGTGAGACAGACATGGATGTAGACAGTAAACACTCCCTGAATCATGTGTTTGTATATCAGTACTTGTGTCTGCTTCAGCAGTCTGTCGACCTGTCAGTGGAAAGAGCGGCAAAACACAAGAGCAGTTTCACCATCGAGACACATCCACAAAGTTTCTAATGATGTCGTCACACAACCACTGAACCACTGTGTTCAATGAATCAGTGAAAATGACATCAACATCAACCAACAATGTTTTATTATTAAGATTCCATCTTTCAGTCTATTTTCCATCTCAAACTCATCACCTGCAGCTGGCTCCAGAAAACCATGTGAACACTGATCTGAGGTCTGTGTGATGTTCACACACTCTGTTTATAGAAACACCAGTTTATGTGTGAAGAATAGAGGATGTCTGGTATTTGTACAGATGTATCACACATCTGGCCCCACGTCTGCCATTCAGGGAGGAAGTGGAAGATAAATCCACCTCAGCTAACTTTACTCAACGTTTCAACGTTTCAACATGTTTGTGACATTAATTATGGCCTGT